TTTCTATTCTATCAAAGGTTTAAAAAATACATTTGCCTGTATATACATTTTAGGATCTGTGCATTTGAGCTCATAATGAGAGGATCATACTCTTCCTGTTGGATTTTTAATGTATTATTTGGAAGGCAGAATGCTACAGTGGAAGTGAGACTATTGTATGGGGTGAGAGCATAGCTGGGAACTAGATTTTCTTTGATTTATTTATTTAAGGTACTTATATAGCACTGTCAATTCATGCAGTGCTTTACACACACACATATATATTGAACATTCACATCAGTCCCTAACCCTCAAGGGGTATACAATCTAAGGTCCCTAACTTACATACACATATTACAGACAATATAAACAGGATCCAATTAACCTACCAGCATGTCTTTGGTGTGTGGGAGGAAACCAGAGCACCCGGAGGAAACCCACGCAAGCACAGGGAAAATGTGCAAACTCCATGCCAGAGGCGCCATGGTCAGGAACCCATAACCCATTTACTGCAAGGCAGATGTGCTAACCACTAAGCCACTGTGCCGCCCATTCCCTGTGGATCAAAATAACTCCATATATCCACAATAAATATTGACATTTTCTATAATAAAAAAGAAACAAGCAAAAAAAAAAAAGTGAATACATTTTTGTGATAAACATGTTCTAATTTCAAATGCATTAGACATTTTAAAATACATAATTTGTGTACTATGCATATAATGGCAAATTAGTTTCGCCCAAATTTTGTGCTACTGACAATAGCAATATGTTTTTTTTCACAGCATTATTTAAATTGTCAGCTTATTTTTTACAATTTGTTTGGAATGCATTCAAAAGGACTTTTTATTTGTATGAATGGTGAGAACACCATTGATTTACTGTAACAAGAAGCAACTACAGTTCAGCTAAATACAGTGCATATAGACTCCTGTTGGCGGTGACCATAGGTTGTTGCACACTGCGTTCTGGACCAGGTCTCAAATAGATTTTAACAATCAAACAATGTGAAATGGACAGCAGGTAGCAGTATATCCTTCCAACCGTCAGCCAGGTCATTGCTAAAAAGAATCCAAATCTAATCAAAATCCATTTTCTGTCCCAAAAAGGCACTTGCAACTGGAACAGGAAGTGATATCTCTCCATGAGGTCACATACAGCAAAGAAAAAGCACAAAGGCTCTGACCACTACTCTTTCAAGAGACTTTTCTATTCATTCATTGTGATAGTTGGTACCAGATGTTGTGTCATAGGCTCAGAGGTCCATATACATTTCCTAACTACGTGTTACTGCAGCGAAAAAATAGCATTCAGCACACGGGGTGTTATGGTTTCATTTATTTTTAAAGGCACCTCAATGAATTCTTACAGTACCGAGCAATGTACCTGGACTTGACTTGGAACCCTTCACAGCGCATACACCTTGTGTTTTGGTGCGATGAGTTAGAAATAAAGGATAAAATGAATAGGCTGGCTTAATACAGTTTTCCCTTAATGCCTTAATGCGTGAAAACCCAACTCAAGGCAAATAAAAAATGATCCCTTACACTGGGGCTCCATCCACACTGCGAGGCTTAATTGTTCATTTTGGTCTATGGGAACAATAAAAAAGATTTACATACCTGATCCTCCACTCCTCCCTGCAGCTAGACTGGTCCCCGCAGCTTCTTCAACCCCCGCGATTTAGTGATCTAGGATTCTGATGTCATCAAGACCAGTGCAGGATCCAAAGCAGAGCCCCATTGCATGGGATAATTTCTTTAATGCCAAAAGTTGTGCTTTAATGCATGTATGTCAGAGTAATGTATGCTATGAGAGTGGTCTGAGTGGGCTGCCCTATGCATGTGGCAGAAACCGAGCACAAATGCCCAAAAACGCAGTGCAATTGTGCATGAGCTCCTAAAACACTAACTATAACGGGAGAGTGCAAACTCTGGTGCAACTCTTCATAGAAACCAGTCAGCTTCCAACTTTTATTGTCAAAGCTTAGTTAAACAAACTGAAGTTAGATGCTGATTGGCTACCATGCACAGCTGCACCAGATTCTGAGTGCTCCAGTTGTAGTAATACCCCCAAATGTGAATGCAGCCTAAAGCTTTTTTAACCGCTTCCTGACTGCCCTCTAGCAGAAGTACTGCTACAGGGTGACAGCACTGTGCAAAATCACGTGTATATATACGTGAATTTGTATTTCCGGGTAGGGGGTGCGTGCGCTGCCCTATCCCCGCCACCTTTGGCGGCTACAGCTGTCGATCACAGGGTCCTGGCCAGAGATTCCCCACCTGCACCTGGCGACCGCCGAGGAACAGTGACAGAGGAGAGGTCTGTATGTAAAAAATACAGATCTTTCCCATGTCAGCAGTAGCAAGCTATATAGCAGAGCAATACAAAGCAACGTGCTTACAGAGCAAAGCGCACACAAAATAGTAAAACAGCACACAGTTAACCCTTTGATCGCCCCAGATGTTAACCCTATTCCTGCCCAGTGTCATTAGTACAGTGTCAGTGCTTTTTATTAGCACTGATCACTGTATTAGTGTCAGAGGGGATGTCAGTGGAAGTTAGTCAGTCCCCCCCCCACCCCCAATGTCAGAATGCCCGCCGCAGTCCCGCTATAAGTCGCTGATTGTCGCCATTAATAGCATTAAAAAAAAAATTCCAGTGTATAGTATAAAGTGTTAGGAATGATGTATGTAGCCATACAGAACAGACAGTGCACAGCCCACATGTGCTTTTCTGCTTCACTGCAACAAGGAAACAGGAAACTGTATTCAGAGAAAAGACATAGAGTGTACCATAGCTACAGCTACAAACATATAAACACTACCATCTACTGGTTGAAGAATATATCTCTACTGAATACTGATGTAGTTCTTGCACAAAAATACATGAACACTGTATTCCAACAGAAAGTGGCACGTTTGTGGTGGAGTGTGGAGATATAAATTACTGGAGAGAAATGCTGTCACTGGATTCATTTAGAGATGTAAGACCTGAGTCCATCTATGTCCATCCCAAACTAAAATATAATTGCTAGGGTTAACTTTAAACTGCTACTATTTTAATGTTATACTGTAGATTACAAGCAAGAAACTATGACTGTGTTCAGATGATTTTAGAAAGTTATACTATATTTCCTTAGTGTGTGTGTGTGTGTTCAGGAAAGTTTTTGCATTTGACATAGAGTTCATAGTTAATGGGTCAATGTAATCAATAGAAATATTACACAAAGATGAAAACGGTTGACTGGCATAAATAGAACCCAGGACTCATAAATAACTTATCTTGGGTACTTGGGTAATTATGTGAACTTCTCAATGCCACATTTCTGTGATATTGTTATCTAACATATATACAGTATATATATATATATATATTCATAATATATATATTAAAAATGTTTAATTAATAAAGAATATATCTGCCACCCAAGACTGTAATAACTAAATTTGTACTCTATCATATAATGCAGAATGTATTACTCTTACCATTTATGATGTGGCACAATGACCTTTTACATATATAGCCCAGCCACACGCTTATTTAATAAAAAGGACAACTAGTTATCTGAAGCATTACTGTCAAATTAAGGCATTTTGTTAAGCCGATGTATGGACTCCGTATGCAAGAGGAATCACTGCTCTGACTCATTCAGTTCTGAGTGTAAATGTGACCTTGAGCTATTGAGATCTGTAAGGTGGTCATTTTTTTGCCAGGCAGATAACACAATCAGGAGTCGGTAGGGAAGGAGAGGAGTCACTGCTCTGGTTCTCAGGTAAATGTGAAGAGATTGAGCTCTGTAAGGTGGCCACTTTCAGCCAGGCAGATAACACAATGAGTCGGTCACTGCTCTGACTCATTTATTTCTGAATGTAAATGTGACCTTGAGCTATTGGGATCTGTAAACTGGTAATTTTAGCAAGGCAAATAACAAAAGTGCGAACTTCCACATCTGAATAACATTTCATGCAAATGTGACCAGAAACTCCAAAAGGATTAGGGCACCTAAAAATTACTTTTTCTTAATGGTTGCTGGTTGATTAAAATCACCCACTGCCCTCTCAATGGAACCCCAGTTTCACTGAGGTTCTAGGCTCATCTTCACAATACCATGAAGTGTCACTCCTTCTGCTAACAAAGTTATTCTGTCTGCTGGGGGACTCAAAATTATCAGTTTTAGGAGACTTGATTGTTCAACTTTGGACTGGGATTAGCTTTTTTATAACATGTAACATGTAACTACAGTTGCAGTTGCAAGGCTTTATGTGGGCACAAAACATAACCATGTTTGTTATATATAAATAATGGATCAGTCCTACACTGAAGCACAGCACTATTACACTTGCCTCGCACACACTATGCATCATAATGTAATTACAACATTTATCTGGGAGATCCTGCCTTCCTATGTATATAGTGTAGCCATATTGGACAATTTCATTTGTGAATAGACATTAGGTAGAAAGAGGATGGTTTTGTCCAAAGTGCTCAGTTAGGTGTTAGTTTGTTCTACTAAAGGAGACAATGTTTGGAATTTTTATTTGAGGTGCTTCCAAACTATCAAATAAATGACTATGAAGTACTGTGGAATTTTTAGTTAAGCTAAAATTAACTTTTTTGTTGTATTTGCTTTTATGAAAGACTCCATATTTTATGGAACAGTACCATATGTTTGTGCAATCCTTATTCTATAGAACAGTACCACTTACTAAGCAATGACTACAGGTAAGAACCTCTGTTGAAGGGCTTTTTTGCTGATAACATCAGTTTGAGAAATGTCTGAGGTAATTCAGAATTCATTGATGGCACATTTGACTGGCAGTCGACTTAATTTTGACCTGTATATCACTTGATTCCAGCAGGTTTTGCATTCTCATAGACTTGCATGGAGATGCAAAACCAGTCTGATATGAACAAAAGCCCACTGACGCAAGCACAAAAATAGCTATAAAAATGTTCAGTATTAGAATATATTAATTTCACATGAAATGACTTTAACATTTTTTATCTTTTCTCCATAGGTTTTCCAGTTCCTGAGGTGAGCTGGTTTAGGGATGGCCAGGTTATTTCCGCTGCAACACTGCCCGGCGTGCAGATCTCGTTTAGTGATGGCCGCGCTAAACTTGTAATCCCCGCCGTTAAAGCCGCAAACAGTGGAAGATATTCCCTAAGAGCCGCCAATGGAGCAGGACAAGCAACTAGCACTGCTGAGCTACTTGTTACAGGTGAGAGATGTGATGAAATTTTAATAGCTAGATATAGTTCAATGGTCACCCTTACTGTGAAAGCCTGTTATAAGCCTAACCCCTGTTCCTGAGCTGCAGCCTGTATAAGTCCTTCAAGAACCCATTTTAACATCACTAAGATACTCAAATTAGTTCCATCAATAAAATGGCTGTCTTTCCAGTAAGGCTCGATTCACATCATGGTGTACTGAGCCAAGCAGTTGTGGAGAACTTGGCAGAAATTGAAAATACCCGCCAAGTTCCCCTTTTTGCCTTGTGTTGCTTGCATGAACAATGCCTTACATGTCCCTTATTCTTTAGTATAAAATGGTTAAAAATCCATGGGTGGTTTACCTGCCGGTACCTCATGGTGTACTTTGGTAAGACCATACAATACGGTGGTCCTCTGTACTATTGCTCCCTAACTTTAGCCTTCAAATGCTCCAAGCAGTCAAGTTTTTTGGTTTGTTGAGTTTGTGTTCCTATATCACTTATTTCCACAAATATTTCCACTGAGAAAGATCTTCATAACATGAGCTGATGATGGTACTTGATGACTAGTGTTGAAGGGATCTAATCAAAACCATTGTATTTTATAAGAAGGCTGTATTTAACATATGGGACAAATTCAAATAAGGGCTTACAAAAAAAAATACTTTTGGTAAATGTTTTATCTAGAACTGTTAAAAGCATTTGGCTATGTCATGTCAAAAACTGAACAAGTCCGACTGCCCATACTCTAAAAACATTTTACTTAAATATATGTGTTCTTTTTTGATAATATGCTTGATCTTTCCTTTTCTGTAGCTGAAACAGCACCCCCAATTTTCACACAAAGACTACAGACTACAACAGTAAGACAAGGAAGTCAAGTTCGTCTTGACGTAAGAGTGAGTGGAATCCCTACACCTGTGGTGAAGTTCTACAGAGAGGGAGCTGAAATTCACAGCTCCCCAGATTTCCAGATCCTTCAAGATGGAGACCTCTACAGTTTAATCATTGCAGAAGCATACCCCGAAGACTCCGGAACTTATTCTGTAAATGCAACCAATAATGTCGGACGTGCTACTTCAACAGCTGAACTCACCGTTCAAGGTATTCCTTGGATTCCAAGGGAACATTTTGAGAGTTCTTTGCATCAGCTTAGGGTTTTAATACCTAACATTAACACTGTAATTTTATTTTTAGACTCTGATACATACAATGTCTTTTGTATATTATAATGCAATATACTGTACTTTACATAAGAATTTCTTAAGAATGTTTTAAGAATCAATTTTAGTAGAATAGTTATTTGTGAGCCACCAGGAGTTAACTTACTCTATTATTAGTGTTAATTGTGTGCTTAAGTGAATATTAATTAAATATTGGATCGCCAGGCACTAATTACACCCCTCTCTAGGTGTATGAAATAAAACTATGAATTCTTATACTGTACCGCGCTCCAATATTATCAACCTTTTGTGATTAACCTTTTTGGTTGTGTGAATTTCTTAATATACCACCTATAATCCAATCATTACTTACTTCTATGGTGCTTGCTTAAATATACAATTAACATAAATTAATTTATAAATATGAATTAAAAAATTATATGTGATTATAACAAATATTAATAAAAAATTAATGAAAAATTGGAATGTCAATTCTATGTGAATAAAATAATAAAAAATTAATAAAACATTAAAAAAAAAAAAAAAAAAAAAAAAAAAAAAAAAAAAGAAAAAAAGGGAAATGTCAATTATTTTCTTTGAATTTGAGATGGTGTTGTTATTCAATTTAGTTAATGTGATAAGTCTCAAGCTGCCAACACAGACTTATCACATTAACTAAATTGAATAACAACACCATCTCAAATTCAAAGAAAATAATTGACATTTCCCTTTTTTTCTTTTTTTTTTTTTTTTTTTTTAATGTTTTATAAATTTTTTATTATTTTATTCACATAGAATTGACATTCCAATTTTTCATTAATTTTTTATTAATATTTCTTATAATCACATATAATTTTTTAATTCATATTTATAAATTAATTAATGTAATTGTATATTTTAAGCACCATAGAAGTAAGTAATGATCTTAGGTGTATATTAAGAAATTCACACAACCAATTACTTTACACAAGAATTGATAATATTGGAGCGCGGTACAGTTTTAAGAATCAATGTACACAGGTTTAAAACATGCACTTTTTTCTGTAAATTTACAGAGGTGTTTAGCATATTAATATGTGGAGATCATGAAATTCCATACAGACTTATTCTTAAAGCTAATGCAAATTCAGTCATGATGTAATGGTGGGATTAAATTTTTTCAGAGAGCCTTTCATTACATTATACTACATTTACAGCGGGTACTAATTCCAGGATCACATTTTAGTCAGCCATTTTTAGTCAGTGCATCTAGTCTCACAAATTAATCATCCAGGGCCAGGCACTCCTAGGAAAGTTTCTGACATTTTGCACTCAGCTCTGCAATGAAGAACCCTCATTCTTTCTGGGCCCACTCAGTGCAGTAACACACAATAATATGTGTTGAATGGCATGTGGTACATTTTGAATGCCACTTCAGCACACTAATACGATGCACCCGCAGCACACTGGCATTGCAGCCCACTGAAATGCCCAGTAATGCATACACTGCACATGTCTGATTCTTGCTGTAATGTGGTACAGATTATTCTGTAGCTGTCATTAATTCTTACCTTCAGTTACCATTTTGCTTTTTGGGAATGCACAGTTGCCTAGGTGAACATGGATGCCATTAACATGTTCTTCCAGGTATGGGAAAGTGAAGATGATGGTCTACATCAGGGGTGTCAAACTGGCGGCCCTCCAGCTGTTGTGAAACTACAAGTCCCATCATGCCTCTGCCTTTGGGAGTCATTCTTGTAACTGTCAATCTTGCAATGCCTCATGGGACTTGTAGTTTGGCAACAGCTGGAGGGCTGCCAGTTTGACACCCATGGTCTACATGGATAAAGTAGACTGTACTGTTGTAGCTTAGTTAAAGGGTAAGTTCACCTTTCCTAACATGTTACATGTTACACTTACGGTATATTCAAGGTGAAAAATGTAACATTATGAAAGACCGCTCCCCCCTGATCCCCCGTTTTGACAGCTAATTGGGAATCTTCTCCCCCCGCTAGCTTTCAAGCTATAAATATATTGTGGCTGTGCGGGGCTCCACCTGCCCTTCCATGTCACTCATAACAGTATTATGTGAATGGAAAACTACAAGTTCCGACACTCTTTGTTGCCATCGGCTTGTAGTTCTCAAAGAACTTCCACAGCACTGTGAGCGCTGTGGTAGTTCATTGATTGTTCCTGTCAGTAAGTATCTACTTGCCCGTACGAGGTACTAGTAAACAGATACACTGACAGGTCTGCATGGCACCCACAATCTGTTGATTGCTGTATCACTGGTGCAATGCTTTACAGGCTCTTAAAACAAAAAATTGGAAATGCACATTTTTTTATCTGCAAGAAAGTGGGCCTTTACTATTATTTGTTGAAAGGTGAACTTATCCTTTAAAAGGAGAACTTCTGTCCCTCTACCCTGTCTAAGTACAACTCCCCAGCTACCAATTTACAATTTTCAAACTTAGCTCTATATTGTATCGCCATTTGGAATATGTGTTTTCAAAAAGGAAGAAGTAGAGAAGTTTAGTAAAACAAACCGGAAAACTGAAAATTCCAATCAACCAACCAACCATCCAAAAAAAAAAAACTCAAAAATTTAAAGAGCAGTCCACCCAAAATAGATTATTGTACTTTTGGTCTGTATACCTGCTGTGGCCATTTTTAGAGGACCTAGACTTCCTGCTGGAAATGTTAATCTATTGTATATTATCTAACATGGAATCTATTAATGGGAGATCACTATGAGACATAAGTATCCAGAAGCTGACTCAGTCCACCAGGTTCACCATAATATGTTTTGGTTGACTGACTCTTTAATTAATTTGATTACAACATCATTATTTCTGATGGTCATGGGGTACTGCACTTCATGTATTATAATTGTTGCTATCTGAATGAACCCAGCTGAATAGATATGACTTGCTTGTCAAGAATCAATGTCCTATTGAAGCAATAGATAGAACAAAGTAGTAGATTTTTAAGTACTGTTTTAAATTCCTAATTTCAATGTTAACTTCTTATTTCCAAACAAGCTGAAGAAGAAATACCTGCCAAAAAGACAAAGACAATTGTATCGACTGCTCAGATTTCCCAAACAAGACAAGCACGTTTCGAAAAGGTACACTAGTTAAAGTTGTGTCCTGTTTCTGTCTTGAACTATCCAAGCCATTCTTCCCCCTGTCTGCTTGTTCTTTATTTGTTACTTTTCTATATTTTATACCACCTATCCCTGCATTGTACTTGCAGTACTACTGTACACATATGTCTATACCAGGGGTCTCCAAACTTTCTAAAGAAAGGGCCAGCTTACTGTCCTTCAGACTTTAGGGGGGCCGGAGTGGTCAGTGGGAGTAGAAAATGTCCTAGCGAAAGTGGGAGTAAAAAAAAAAATGAAATAGTGCTTGTAGTCAGTGGAAGGAGGGATATTGTCCAACCATTGATATTAGTTGGAGGAATAGTGCCCCATCACTGGTATTTGTTGGAGGAATAGTGCCCTATCATTGGTATTAGTGAGATGAAAAATGCCCCATCATTGGTGACAGTGGGATGAATAGAGCCCCATCACTGGTATCAGTGGGAAGAATAGTGCCCCTTAATTGGTATTGTTTGTAGGAATAGTGCCTCATTATTGGTGTCAGTGTGAGGAATAGTTCCCTCATCATTGGTGTCAGTGTGAGGAATAGTGCCCCATCATTGGTGTCAGTGTGAGGAATAGTGCCGCATCATTGGTGTCAGTGTGAGGAATAGTGCCCCGTCATTGATATCAGTGGGAGGAATAGTGCCCCATCATTGGTGTCAGTGGGAGGAATAGTGCCCCATCATTGGTATCAGAGGAAGGAATAAGTGTGCCCTATCATTGGTGTCAGTGGAAGGAAAATGTCCCATTGCTGATGTCAGTGAGAGGAATGGTGCCTCCTTCTTTGTGTCAGGGGGAAGAAAAGTACCCAGAGGGCCGGATAGAGGCATGCAAAGGGCCACATTCAGCCCACAGGCCGTAGTTTGGAGACCACTGGTCTATACTATAAATTATTGCAACATGCATGTGAACGTAATTCACCAACTATTTCACCCTTACAGAGAGTAGAGGCTCATTTTGATGCGAGATCCAGTACTACAGTTGAGATGACAATCGAAGGGCAACTGCCCCACAAAACTCCTCCCAGAATTCCTCCAAAGCCTTCATCAAAATCACCGACTCCGCCAATGATTCCTACTAAGGTCCAGATGGTGAGACAGCAGTCGCCATCACCTGTACGGCAATCTCCTTCTCCTGTCAGACCCGTGAGAGCCCCAGTTCCTTCACCTGTCAGGTACAGTCAGCTTGGTTTTTATACTTTATCAAGGGTTAAACCCTTCAAGTGTTATATTTTACTTCCTGAAATGTGCTGCGGTGTGGTTTCATACCAGCCATGCGACTTTGACATCTAAATATCTACAGTGGCCATTATGAAGCAGGGCTGACCTCTCAGCTGGATTTCACATTTATTTTTCATTCTGAAGAATACAGCAGGATTGAAACTCCAAAACTGCAGCAAGAGAAGTAAGACACAAAGATGGTATAGGGCAGAGCAAGAAACTCTGAAAAGTGTGCTACATTTCTGCAGTCTGTATCAGATTCAGCTCACCAGCATATACCTATTTTTTTAAATAATGTTGGAAATGACCCTTTTAACATATGGACTACACAAAGGTATTTTTTTAGACATCACAGGTTTTTTATTCCCCACTGTAAATTTTGGCTCAAAGTTGTGTACAGGTCCAACACCTATTTTTAAGTTCAACTACGTTGACTAATAGTATATTTGATGCAAATCAAACATATGTAGAATTTGATGTAAAATGTAGTGAATATGTAATGCTCTCTGCTTCAAATTAGAACAGATTTGAAGTGATTGTAGTCATAATATTGTGCTTGCAACAAAAACAACTGAGTACTTACTGCCTGTGATTTTTTTTTATTTGCATTAACACTAAAATTTTCAGGGTGTACCTACTTCTTTTAAGGTCCAAGTACTGCTTGGATCTTGAAACAAGGGGTTACACCCCAAACGCTTGTCCTGAATATTTGAATACTAGTACAAATAAAACAAGTACCACAGTCTTTATTGTTTTTTGTATTTAGAACAGAGCAAGTCTGGTTTTCTATACCTATGTCTTGTCATTTTCAGAAAGTGCAATAGTGCCATCATGTGGCTAGTCCACAGAATGCAGCAGTGTCAGAAATTGTGATACCAATGTACAGTATTTTTATTTATATCATGTTCTTATATGGTGCCATCAATTTATGCAGCACTTTGTATATATGCACTATGTATATATGCATCACTATATATATATAGTGCATTCACATTGATCCCTAACCCTCAAGGAGCGTGCACTGTAAGGTCCCTAACTCACATTCACATACTAGGCCAATTTAGACAGGAACCAATTAACCTACCAGCATGTCTTTGGAGTGTGGGAGGAAACCGGAGTAACCCCACACAGGCACAGAGAGTACATGCAAACTCCAGACAGTATATATATACCGTGTATATATATATATATATATATATTGTAGTAGATTTTGTTATCACTCCTCATCCCTGATATATGACAAAATATCTATATATACAATGCTCAGAAAAATTAAAGGAACACTTTGAAAACACATCAGACCTCAATGGGAAAAATATCATGTTGGATATCTATACTGATATGGACTGGGTAATGTGTTACAAACATAAGGATGCCCCATCGTTTGATGGAGATTAAAATGATCATATATATATATATATATATATATATATATATATATATATATATATATATATACATATTCTGTATATATCCATTTTAAGTTATCTGAAGTAGGTAATCTACATTATAATTAGTCAAAAATCTAAATTTAGGTCAGTGAGTTCCTTCTTCTAAGAAGTATTTGTAAACTTTTTATGTGTACATATGTGGCTAATGTTATAAAAATGTAATGTTCCTTTAGGTCCGTCTCTCCGGCTGGAAGAGGACTGTCCACTTCTCCAATCAGATCTGTGAAATCTCCATCTCCTTCAAGGAGTTCCCTTGCATTAGCTGGTGCCCTGAGGTCCCACCTCCTTGGAAGCAAGAAGTATTTGTGTCCTCCACAACCTCACAGATAAAGTCTGAGCAAAAGTGGGAAACAAGGGAGCAGGTGATTGTCACTGGATTAGAGCAGAGAGAGGTAAAAAAAAAAAAAATTTTAAATACTTTAATTAGGTATATTTTTGTTCTTTAATGTAAGAGGTTTGCTGCTGTAATCTAAATGTAGATATCACTTTATGACCTCCTAGTCTAGTATGAAATAACCATAAAAACTACATGTATCTACTCAAGTGTAATGGCACTTACCGAGGAGCATTATATTTGCATGTAAAAGCCATATCACCTATTTCTCCTTTGTGAACTACTGTTATAGCATAATGCAGGGGTGTCAAACTGGCAGCCCTCCAGCTGTTGGCAAACTACAAGTCCCATCATACCTCTGCCTTTGGGAGTCATACTTGTAATTGTCAATCTTGCAATGCCTCATGGGACTTGTAGTTTGCCAACAGCTGGAGGGCTGCCAGTTTGACACCCGTGGTATAATGTAAAACCTTAAACTATGTTTATTTGAAACAAAACTTATGGTAAACAATAGCACAAACAAATATTTATTTTAATTGATAACACTGTATGACTAAAGTTTTTTTTTAAGCTTTTACCTTTAAAAACATGTATTTTGATGTGACTGATATAGGTCTACGGAGCAGGAAAAACAGCAGCTGTTGCTACAGTAGTTGCTGCTGTTGACCTGGCCAGAGTGAGAGAGCCTGCTCCAAGTGCCATTGAAGTGACTGCTAAAAGGACAGCAATGTCTGCCGTGCAAATTCAGCCTGTCCATGAACAGGTAGAAAACCTTGCCAAGCTGTAGTGGCAAATAGAGCACAAATGCATCTAAACCAGGGACAAGCTGGAGATATGTGACAAGAGAACAAATTATCAACCATTTTGATCATTTCTAACTTTTAGGCTTTAGTTTAGGCATGCAACAGAATCTCCTGGGTCATATGATGCAGTAATATGTATCATGTCAATTGCTGTGGCTTCATTTTGAGGCTATTTTTGAAATCTCTTTATACTGAATTTTTAAAGATCAGTCCACTGAAAACTGACATCTAGGTGTGTTAAAGTGGTTATAAACTCTTACATATACCCAGTGAAGTGACTAGCTTCAGGTGATACACAGAGAGGAAAGAAATCCTCCTACTTAAATGGTACCTTTCTATCTGCAGTATTCTCTTCTCTATATCTGTTCAGTGTCCAGAATTTATAAAGCTTTTCTAAGCTTTCAGAAAATGGGGGGGGGGGGGGTGAGACATGAAATTATACACAGCAGAGCTCAGTGAGGAGATCTCTGAGAGCTGATTGGAGGAAAGGGACACCCTCCTTCACAAAGCATACAGGAACAGAGCTGAGGCTGTCAAATCACAGGCTGTGTGCTGAAGGTCCCTCCCCATCACCTTTTTTCTTAGTGTCAGAAAACTTGTCAGAAGTGATTCATGCTTATAGCCAGGGGCGAACTGACAACTCATGGGGCCCCCGGGCAATAGGGATCATGGGGCCCCTGTGTCCTTACCCAAACTCAAAAAAGCCTATGAAAAGGGTACCAGGGGCATCTCATGGGCCCCCACTGACCCCGGCCCTCGGGCAGTGCCCAAGTTTCCAAATGGTCAGTCCGCCCCTGCTTATAGCAGAAGAATGAAGTGGTAGACAGAAATTACACTTAGTCCTACAATTGAGACAAGTACACACTACTGAGGGATATGCTTTGTTCATATATCATGCCTGAGGTTTACAACCCCTTTAGGTCAAATATAAGAGAGGCTTTTTCTGTTAGGGTTTTGAACCTAATATTGTAGAGAGTGCAGCAGGAGGGGTGAGATCTAGTCGCTAAAGCCTGCAAGTATTATACAAACCTTAAGCTCCATGCACACGGGGTGTTTTTAATAATGCTGGTAACGCTTGCTGTGTAAAGTCATGTTCAAAATGTGTTTTCAGCATTTTTTAGCGTTTTTGCATTATAGCGTTTTTGCATTTTCGCTTAGCGATGTTTTGCCATTTTGTATGTTTTCACATTTGCATCTTACACCATTTTTTTACCTAAAAATGTCCAAAAAGGCAGTTTTTGCCACTTTTACCTTGTTTTGCCGTGTTTTTCAGTGTTAGAGTGTATTTATAGCTAAAAAAAAACTGCTCTAAAAACCCTCTAGTTCTGGGGTTTTTTTTCCAGCCAAAAAACGTCCCTGCCAAACAACGTTGATTACAGTCTATGTGTGCATGGACACATAGGATAATGTGCTGGGGAGTTTACTGGCTGTAAAAAAAACACCAAAAGCCAAAAACAGCCGCTGTGAAAACGTCCAGTGTGCATGAGGACTAAAAAGTTATAGTTCAGCAGACTCCACCTGTAGCCAAAAATCTCACTTTTTGTGGACTGACCTTTTACGTTTAAATACTAGCTAATGCATAAAGCCAAACATACAACTAGAGCTGTTGTCCTTACAAAGATTTAGTACCACTAGTCCAGCTTGTCCCTGATTCAGCAGCAGAAATATAACAAAAGCTTGCTAGATGCTTTCTTGACTCCCACGTTTGTGCCTTCATCTTCATCAAGCAAACCTACCATCACCATGTTTTCAGCTTACCCACTTCTTTCATATAATTCATTCTTTTTTTTTTTTGCTCATCATCATTCATACACATTTTTATTGTAAGCAAACATTTCTTTTATAAACACCAGGTTAAAAAAGAAGCTGAAAAAGCTGTAAGCACAGTAGTTGTGTCCACTGACAAAAGCAAACAAGAAACAGTTACAAGAACTGTAGAAGGAGTTGCAGCCAAGCGTGAACAAATACACGCAATACAAGAACAGGTGAATTTGACTGCGTGATCTGCAGAGGTCATAATTATAATCCAGTACTTTTATGGTCTAGACCAGTAACGCTGAAACATTGGACTCTAGGTGCCTATATACCTTTGCTACTGAATGCCAATAGTTTGTGAATGTCATAGAAAAAAAATGGCTTCCAGTAAAATATCAGATATATTGAACTATGAGGGGACCCCAAACCCCTAAAATTGGTTCTCTAAACTAATTGCAGATGATGCACCTCTGGTTTACACCATAAAGGCTAACACCTACCTTGTTGTTTTTTTTTCTACTTTTTCTTTAAGAATGTTTACTAACTAAAGTCTTGTGACCAGTACCACTGGCTTATTGAAAAATCCACATTAAATCTGTACATTGTCTGAAAAAGAACAACAAAACAATTAGCGTAAAAAACTAATGAACAGCCATGGCATTGGTCACACATGCAAGTTTCAATTTTTACCATAACGTTTGAGAGCATTTGTGTGAATTTTTAGTCAAGAAAACCTTCTGGTGTTAAAATGGTGTGTTATCGTGTACATTTAATGGCCAAACAGATGAATTACAATTCTGAGATAGAAATGGCGGTGGCTACTGTGCTGGCCGCTGTGGACCAAGCAAGAACCCGGACTCTTAGAGGTGCTGATTTTCCAGCTGTATCTCAGATGCCTGTCAAGAAAGAGGAGGTACAAGCCTTGTGATCACATCCACAGCACAAATACCTTCATCACCGGCACGTCTTTAGTCACTGGGCACTTCTTTCTTTCACCGCGTGTCTATTTTTAACTTATCACCTCTTTTTGTTTGGTCACTTTAAATTTGGCACATACCAGCTGCATGCATGTTGAAGTTGTAGGGCCATATAAAAACAGAGAGGTACTGAAATCTCCTGGTTTATATGAGCCGTCTTTGGTGATCATGTGTGTGCCTCTGTGTCTTATATATGTATACATGTTTTAATTTTAGCGATGTCAAGCATAAGATAAGACTTAAAAGGCATGTGTTTTAATGCATAGGAGTAAACATTTAGAATATGTAGCAGTAACATAATGGACCATTCAACTGCAAAACCTTTATATTACACAAGCTTTAACAAGGAAATTGATGTACCTAGCATTAATCGCGGCATTTTCTACATACTATATATAAACAGGGGTCTCCAAATGTTTCAGTACAAGGGCCACATTGTATATATTACAAATATTTATGAACCAAAAAAAAATATGTTTTATAAATAAATGAGAAAAAAAATTAATGAACAAGACCTAAAATCACATCAGAAGCCCCCATCACATCAGAAGTCTCCCATCACATCAGAGTCCCCATTGATCTCAAAGCCTCCTTTCACATCTGTGCCCACCTTTCATATGAGAACCCCCTTTTCACATGAAAGTACCCCCCGTCACATCAAAGCCTCCCTTCACATCAGAAGCTCCTTTGAACATCAGTGTCAACCCAACACATCAGAGCCCCTTTCACATTAGAGCCTCCTTCACACCAGAGCCCCCTCTCATATCCGAGTCCCCCCTTCACATCAGAAGCTCTCCTTGCACATCAGAGTCCCTTTCACATCAGAGCCCCCTTCCCACATCAGAGCCCCCTCTTCACGTTGGAGTCCTCAGTCCTCTCCTACCTTACAATCTTCACCACCGCAGGGGATGACATGGGATGGGAGGCAGAGCAGGTCTGGATGGAAGGCAGGAGGCAGAGCAGGTCCTTTTCTGAGTACATTGGATGCTGCCACTCTGGATCAGCATCATTCGTTTCCATGGTATGATTGGGCCTGCCACCAGCACCATAGCAACAAATGATCCTGTACGTGATGGCCACTCAGCATCTTTGGTTTTAATTGTACTGGTAGTTGGTGGACAAGTTGCAAATGTGGCCAGGTAAAATCTTGTAGTGGGCCAACTGTGGCCATAGTTTGGAGACCCCTGATATAAAAGAGTAAATAAAAACCTTATTATGATGGAAACATAAGTGGAAGTTGGAAGATTCAGCTGTTGTTTGTATACAACAGTGACCATTTTGTATGAGAAACAAATAAAGGTGGCCATGTTTTATATAAATTCAGAAGGGATCAGGGCATCACGAAGATAAGTCATACCTCTTAAATGTCTATCATGAAGTAAATAATTTTTGTTCCCAGGATAGCCAACTCAATCTAATCCAAGTCTAGCTAATTGTAAATCTCCTTCAGAAGTCTTTCATTTAGCCCACAACATGGCAGCCTTGTATTGGTTTCTGTATATTCACGGTAAAAGGACTTATTTATGATGACTGATGAAGCAGACTTGCATATTATTGGCTGAAGTTTATAATTAGTTTACTTCTGTACTGCAGAATTAATACTGTTGATTTTTACTATGTTTTGGGATTTTGTAATTTTTTTTTGTGCCCTTTCAACATGAAGGTATGTATAAATTTTGTTAATCTTATCTTTAGATTGGAACTGGCAAAAAAGCAGGCGCTGTGGCTACAGTTGTTGCTGCAGTTGACCAGGCTCGTGTCAGGCTACCTGGATACACAGAAGAAGGCTATGCTGAAGAAACAGCTCTGCAGTATGAATACAAAGAGCATGTTTCTGCTAGGAAAACAGTTGAATTCTCACCTGAGCGTCAAGTTGTTACTAAACCTATAAAAGCTCCAGAAGTTCACGTCCCAACAGTACCAAAAGTTGTCCCTGTTGAACATGTTCCATCACCTGTACCACAGGTTAGGCTCTAAACATGTCCATTCTGATATTATTACTTTTTGATCCTGTATATGATTTCAAAGTCAATAAAACTTTATTGATTAACATAGATTAAAAGAATTCCTGCGCCGCCAACTGTACCAGTTGTCCAAGTGGAACAAACTATATCACATACACCTATTCCTCATTTTACCATCTCTAAAGTCACAGTCCCTAAAGCTGAACAAACACATGAGGTAAGAGCTGAGTAGCCTGTATATCAGGCAAGGCATTTATTGCCACAACTGCCAATACTACATTGACTAAATTGGTGGTTTTGTGGCTTCACTAAACTCTTAGCATCTAATTACAAATATCCATTTAATATATATATATGTAATGCTAAAAATCTGAGTCAAACCCAATATTGTTATCAATTTTTTTTATGCATTAAAGCCGCCCACTGGAACCTATTGGTTTTGAAATACTTTTTAAGGCAGTGAAATAAAATGGAACTGCTCTAAACTGAACTGGGCTACTTGATACTGCTGGTAAAACAGCTGACTGCCATTCAAAGCACCATCCAGTTTTCTATACAACATTGGCAGTTTATGAACGTGTTGTGGAAAACCATCTTTAGTCAGCCACAGATATTAATTACAATGAGAATATAAAAAATAAAGAAGTCTTTGTGATCATCTGCTTTGGAATTTCTTACGCAATAAGATGTACAGTTCATTATATAATAGAAAGACTAGAAATCATAAGAGCAACTTTATTCTTACACTTTTTGTGTTAATAAATGGATATTTGTAATATTTAGTCTGATATACACCACAAAATAAAAGTAATTAAAATGTCCCTCTTTTAAATTAATATAATAATATATCAATTTTTATTTTTTGTAACACTTGCAGTTGTTTTTGCTGCTTACTAAAAAAAGATATTCATTAACAAGTTTTATTATAAATACTTTCACTATGATAGATAATGCATAAACAGAAACTTTCAAATGTTTTTACCACATCTTCTGCAGATAACAACTCTACGCTTTTTGTGTTTGGCTCATTTGTTTTCGGTGTCTGTGCCCGTCCAGTCTTTTCTGTGTGCAGCAGGCAATCTTCAGCTTTTTCATCTTTGTTGATTTTAAAGATGCTCTGTAGTTTTTTTTCTGTCAAACTGTAAAGAACAGTTTAAAAATATTGATGCATGGTATTTCAAAAGTCTCAAGGCTTTCTTTTTAACTTTGATGGCCAGCTTTTCTATGCATGGATCATTTAGTAATGCAGTGCAAAGAGGTCGCAGTTAGAAAGTTGACATTCTTTAAGAAATTTAAAGAAAATAGAAATATTGCAATACGTTTACTAAAATTACATTAAGGAACATATGGTAGAATTTTTGGGGTGCAGTGCCTTGACAGCCTTTGCATTTTATGATGGAAATGTTTGCTATTATTATTTATAGTGAGCCTATATGCTCTATAAACATGAATAGCATACATTGCCATCGCAAAATGTCCAGGCTGGATGAGGTACTGCACCCCCAGAGTTACGTTTGAAGTGTAATCATTTGAATTGAGGACCCCTAATAAAAGTGTATGCATGGCCAACATTTTTTTTGTTTTGGATAGGGTAGGGTAGCATTAGGACCCATGTCAAGTGTTTATTGCTGTCTGGGTTACCTTTTCTTTTTGTCCTGGTGACTACTGTTATAGAGAAAGTGATGAGAAATATAAACATCTTTTCCACTGACAACTGGCTATGAGGGAGATTTCTCTCACTTGATGGGACAGAGATAGCAAAACATAAACTGACAGAGGTTTACCTCTTCCATATTCTATTGAAAATTAAAAAAAAAAAAATAAAGTTTTGACTACATAGGGTTTAAGCCTGTATTCAAGAATTTAAACCATTTATTCCATTCATTTTAAAGCCCCAAAGTCTACCAACTTTGATAATAAAACCAAACTAGGAAAATGTATTGCAGTATATGTTTCAGACTGCTTTAGGGTCCAGATTTGTTGTGGTATAGAAAAAGTCAGCCTTGGTGCTTGCGAGATATGCATAGAAAGGAGAAGAACATCTAATGATTCTTAATAAATACAAAATGGAAACTCTAAATCAAAGATCTATTACATTCCTTGATAATGGTATTCCTCCAAAATGTAAGAGTAACATGAAGAAAAAATAGTCAAAACAGAGGGCATCTTTAAAATATGCAGCTTCATGATCAAATGATAATATCTTTCCTTCTGGCCGGGTTAGGTATCAATTGCAGGATCTGCTATCGCCACTCTGGAAAAAGAATTTACTTCAGTGGCAGCATCACAAAAGATTACCAAACATGTGGAGGCTCCACACTATAAACCAGCTGAAGCACGAGCAACACCAGAAAAAATTGTCTCTCAACCCTATCCTTTGGCAGAATCAGCCGATGCTTACAAAACCAGATTCGATGTTACAAAGGAAAGAGAAATAGGTTTGACCATTACAGGTGGTTATTCGCGTGACGAAAGATTTCAGTACCAGTATGAGGTTGGTTATCAAGAGGCTCTTGTTCATCTTCTTTGATTCTTCTTATAACAACAAGCTATAACAAAATAGGCCTCTACTATCTTCTCATCAACCTTTCCTCCCTACTACTTGCTGCTCTCTACAAGTGGGTGTATTATTAGTGCTTTACTATGCTTCTAACATGACCATATGCAGGAGTAATACTATACACCCGTTCTCGCATGATGCTTATATTTAGACTCCTTGCCTATAGAAAAGCTCACACTCTTCCATATGTTTCAGGCTGAAGAAGCAGCCCATGTGCCTGTACCAGCTGAAGTCCCCGTTTCTCCACCAACTATAGTCTCTGTAAGTAATATAGTTCATGGATTAAGTGAGCCCATGTTTATCTAGTTCTTAATCCAGAAATGTGTAAATACCTTTGCATTGGGGTAGTTTGCCTGAGTTATTCCTAAAGGGCAATGGAAAATAACAAATCACTATTTTTTAGCTTTATATCAGTAGCTGGTAAAGCTAATAATGCTTTGTTTTATATCTAATAATTATGTATTATGTGTGTATATTCTGTTTACACAAAAAGTCTATTTACTGTATATGTAAATAGTCAAAAGATATACACATACATGTATATAATAAGGATAGAGTGTGTGTATACAGCAGAAATGTACAGCAAAGACTCAAAATTTATAGCCATAGTCTGTTAGATCTATCTTGAAAATTATTATTTTCATTTGTATATTATGCCAATACTTTTTATCTATCCAAATCTGCCTTTTAGTAGCCTTAACAGTGCATTGAACCTTGGTCTTTTTGAATAGCTGTAACTATTTAAATAAGATCATATTCATTAAATTACATTTTTTTTTTCATTAAAGGGTTGTAAATGTTTAAATTCCTATTTTAAAGACTGTGGGAATAGATTCAGAATAGATGTATTTACACTTTTATATGTTGAACTGGGAAGTAAATATATAAGCACCTTTTAAATGCTAACTGAATATCTTTTAGTGCAACTATGTAATACTTATCATCAGGCATAGTGTAGTTTGTCACATGCACCATCAATTCAACATTATTAAGATGATTGTTTTTATTAATAGGGTCTAAAAAATGTAACAGTCCTTGAAGGCGAGTCAGTAACTTTGGAGTGTCACATTGCTGGTCACCCTTCTCCAACTGTGGTTTGGTATCGTGAGGATTACCGTATTGAAAATTCAATTGATTTCCAAATTACCTACGAACTAGAAATTGTAAAACTAGTTATTCGTGAAGCATTTGCTGAAGACAGTGGGAGATTTACTTGCACAGCTAACAACGAGGCAGGCACAGTCAGCACTTCATGTTACCTCCTTGTTCAAGGTAAGCTAACACCACTTGTTTGAGTTATTTTAGTTAGTGGTTAAAATAGCGAAGCAGTTGAATGTGAAGAACAGCTGCATTTTATGACTCATCTCTAAATATGGTAGACAAATGGTCACATTGCTAAATCATGCTGTATGACTATTAATTTCTACCTTTGATTATCACATTTTTAGTAAGTTTATATTAGTGAGTCACAGCACATGTATATACATATGTGTTCAATAAACAAGTAAATCTGAATTGGATGCCGAGCTATGATATATATCAAAAATGTCTTTAGGAACATGTATGGAACTTTAAAAGGTCTTGTTGTAAATGTTCATAAATCTACAATATCTCACAGAAGTGAGTACATACACCCCTCACATTTTTGTAAATATTTTATTTTATCTTTTCATGTGAAAACACTGAAGAAATGACACTATAATGTAAAGTAGTGAGTGTACAGTTTGCATAACAGTGTAAATTTGCTGTCCCCTCAAAATAACTCAACACAGCCATTAATGTCTAAACCGCTGGCATCAAAAGTGAGTACACCCCTAAGCGAAAATGTCCAAATTGGGCCCAAAGTGTCAATATTTTGTGTGGCCACCATTATTTTCCAGCACTGCCTTAACCCTCTTGGGCATGGAGTTCACCAGAGTTTCACAGGTTGACTGGAGTCCTCTTCCAGTCCTCCATGACGACATCACAGAGCTGGTGGATGTTAGAGAACTTGCGCTTCTCCACCTTCCATTTGAGGATGTCCCACAGATGTTCAATAGTGTTTAGGTCTGGAGACATGCTAGGCCAGTCCATCACCTTTACCCTCAGCTTCTTTAGCAAGGCAGTAGTCATCTTGGAGGTGTGTTTGGGGTCGTTATCATGTTGGAATACTGCCCTGCAGCACAGTCTCCAAAGGGAGGGGATCAAGCAATGCTTCAGTATGTCACAATACATGTTGGCATTCATGGTTCCCTCAATGAACTGTAGCTCCCCAGTGCGGACAGCACTCATGCAGCCCCAGACAATGACACTCCCACCACCATGCTTGACTGTAGGCAAGACACACTTGTCTTTGTACTCCTCACCTGGTTGCCGCCAGACACGCTTGACACCCTCTGAACCAAATACATTTATCTTGGTCTCATCAGACCACAGGACATGGTTCCAGTAATCCATGTCCTTAGTCTGCTTGTCTTCAGCAAACTGTTTGTGGGCTTTCTTGTGCATCATCTTTAGAAGAGGTTTCCTTCTGGGATGACATCCATGCAGACCAATTTGATGTAGTGTGCGGCATATGGTCTGAGCACAGACAGGCTGATCCCCCACCTCTTCAACCTCTGCAGCAATGCTGGCAGCACTCATGTGTCTATTTCCCAAAGACAACCTCTGGATATGAC